TGTTAAGTGTAAAAGGAAAAGAATGTTTTGATTTTTCTGTATATTGTTAATATAAGTGAAATTTAGAATAACTTTCGATAGATATGATTTAAAATATCATTTACATATTACGTTAAGCGTTTCATTCGTAATATCTAATGGCTTACACAGAAAAGGTGTCTCTTAATGGGACCGCTCTTTCGTTTCTATTATACGAGTGTGTTAATTCATCGAGTAGTCAGGTATGTTATAACGATAAAATACTAATTAAATTATGCACTGGATGGTACCTATTATTTCAAACTAATTATATTTTGTATTCACAGGAAGGCTTTCTGATCGGGAATGTTACAACTGAAATAACTAATCATATATCAGATTCCCAAAATGACAGTGCAAGATTGGATACGCAAATATTCATAAGGACAGTTTTGCCGGTACCATCAGTGGCTTTATTTTATTTCCCCACAGGTAAAATAAAAGAAGAAATATTATCAGATTTACTCTCTAGTACAGCAAATGACATCGTCGGCTGGTATAAATATAGGAAGAATAGTAGTATTAAGCCTACTTTTAGGGATAAGTTAATATCCAGAGGATTGCAGAAGTACTTTGAAAAATATCATGGAAAGAAAAATTTTGTTACTTGCAATTTATCATCCAAAACTTCATCATCTGGTTCAACACATACATTTACATACAGATTTGGCAAAATCAATTGCTTCAATATGTATGAATACATTGAAGATGTCACTGCTAATTTGGGTGAGAAACTAACAGGGTATAAGAAAGCTCCTAAGGTTTCACCACATAGCATATTCAATAAAATTGTCAGCGAAAGTAATGTACAGAATAACAACACAAATGATGCAATCCTGCACATTCAGGAGGCTGTTGATATTAAAATGATCAGTGAAGCAAAACTCGCTGCAAAAAATGAGAGTGCTATCCGTGAGTTAGAAGCGGAAATTAAACATATGACTGGTATTTTATCTGACAAGCATATGGTAGACCTACAAGCTGCATATAACAAGTTAATGGAAGAAAAATTAATAAATAGAGAAGTTGAGATGGCTGAAGCTTGTGTTAATGTTTTAAAATCACCTCCTAGTGTGGACATTATGAGCATTCCCAATATCTTTCTTAATAGCAACAATCTATCTGATAGTGAAAACTCAGTACAATTAATAGAAAATGAAAGTAATGAGAGAAGTTCAAGCCCTATTGCAGTAGCATCCACTTCCACCAAGCCATCACTGAACTATGCAGCTGCATGCAAGAAAAGTTCTGATGTTAAACCATCCACAAGTGTAAGTAATTAAAATTCCATACTGCACACTACCTTAATACATTCTTTTTGGCATAATTTATGGTGTTTTTATATTATAAGATGGCAAACAAGCAAGCAGCTACCTGAAATTGTTGAAATACCGAAGTGACCATTTTTCATAGACATCCGCAATTGCAAATGCATTGCCAACCTTTAATTGATCACTCATCAAACGAAACGCGGAATTTCTTCCATGTCACGCTTGTTTTATTTGGGGTCGTGTTATTTCGTCAAGCGAACCGGCCAATTCGTGTGAAGATATTAAAGAGAGCTCTACCACTGTTCATGTTAAAAAATCTATTTTAACCTATAAATGTATTGTTTGTTACAGAAAACCGATGAATATGAGGATTTAATCTGCTTCGATGTAGAAGATAAGCATGTGGCCAAACCGTTATTCATCAGTGACAATATAAAATGTTTGGACGACAGTTCCCCTGAGTTTTAAAAAGTGCCTTAAAGTGGTTTTTTTTCTAATTCCCAAGTTACCATACAAAATCGGAATCCATTTGCTGTACATTTTGTTACCTAATGTTGTTTAACTCTGTTGTTTTAATAAGTGTTACTTTGATTTTTAATTAACTTCACTAATATTGACTAAATCTATAATAAATTAAGAATAGATTTGGTTAAATTAACAATAAACATAGAATTCTTTATTCTGCAAAAGAGAGCCATGAAATTGTTTCACCTAAATCAGTCTAGCGCTAGACTTATTTGATTATTGTGCTTATAGGTAAGTGGAACTAGTTGTCAGTGTTAATGTTTTCCGTCAAAATATATTGTGGGAGACCTACAATAGTAATCTGTGTATACTGTGTGTAAGTATAAGCACTAAGCTAGCATACACTATTTTTTGAACACATTAGATATCGGATAATTGGATCAAATGCGCCATTATAAAGTCAAACCTAGGAAAACGAGAAACCTTTATGAGTGATAATCATGGTCTGGTCCCTAAGGACGATCTCCACAAGCAAGAAACTCAGGTTAGAGAGCAACTTATATAAGTGAAAATTATTGTGGTTTTTTAGACTCTTGCTTGTCCACTTGGATACCTTGATTTGAATCTTCAAATGTATTCATATTTAACATTCAAAAATATACAGTTACTTACGAAATTTATCTGGAACGGTGCCACACATTTGAAAGTCTGATAATGTTTATTAAATTATCTACTTGGATTTACTATTTGTTTACGAACATTTATATCAAATTTGTTGATAATTAGTGATTTAAACATTTAAAAAATGTTCTATTAAATGTTTTCTCTTCAAAATTAGTGCATGTCATTTATTAATTTTGTAAAATGGATGTTGAATATCAAATAAAAATAAATATATTATATACATAAGATTATTTTATAACAAAAAAATCAAGTCTTGAATATTATAAACTAATTTCATTTCACATTCAGTAACAGGAGTTTAATATGTTTTGTGTAGTTTTTTAACATTTTTCAAGATCAAAATGTTTCGAACCTATCAAACAAGTAGTGTTTTCAAAAATACTAGTTATTTTTGAGATTTAAAACGTATATTGAAAAACTATACATATTTCATTTTTAATATGACAGTTAAATCTGCTGTTCAGTAATCTGATAAATTTTTAATTTATATTAAGAATATTTTTCTTCTATGACTATTCAGTAACAAAACACATGAACAAACAAATTGAAATCCTTATAACATAATCCTTGGAAAAATAGAGATGACAATGTGTTTTTTACATTTGATTTGGCAGTGGAAATTCTATCATTTTCGTGGTTTAGTTATAATTCCTCCTCATATATGTGACAAAATGCATTTGAAAATGTAAACGTATTTAAATGACCTTGATAATGTTTTCAAGATTAACATTACTTAGTTTAGATTGATAATCCTCACGGCTATGTTGTACAGAATATTTTTGTAATAAATGTCATTAAAGTAAATTTGTTTTTATTTTTATTCCAAAGGTGCCATGCCATAGACATGTGTCTTTTAACGACACAAATTAAAAGATAAATATTTCAGGTCATTGATTCATCGTGTTGTTTACATCTTTGAATAATTCTTTAAGGTCAATTTACTGGTATAGTAGATAAAGCGACCTTTTGGATATCTTGGGTCTAAAGTTCACGCGAATCGCTGCGCAAAACACAATGTAGGTGATGCGGGGGGAGGGCATTGAGCAGCGCGCACATGACCTTGGGCGGCTAAGATATTTAAAAAAAAATTCAAACAAAAACCTCTAGTCTTTTACTATGTGATAGATAACCTATAATTAAAACTACAATAAATATGCTATTATTTATTTTATATCGCCGATTTATGTGAAACAAAAAGGTTTTATGTCTTAAATCATATTTAACGTTATTCAGAATATTTTTGTAATAAATCAATCCCTTAACTTTTACAACATATAAATAAACAACACAACATTACATTTATAAAATTAACAAAAATATGGCAAGCACAATTCTTTAACAAATCTGAAATATAAAAAGTTAAACAACAGAAGAAAAACAAAATATTAACAAGAACAAAGTATAACGCTACTTAGATTATTCATGTTTATTATATGTAAATAAGACTAGATTTTTAAGGAATGATCTAGGAGGAATGTCAGAGATTGTAGTCAAAACCCTTGTGTCATCTTTGATTACCTACTGTAGAACCATTGTATCCTATACAAATAATTTACTCAAAGAACGTAACTTTTCTTTAAGTACCACACTTTTTGCAGCATTTAATTTCAATTTTAATTTCAGCAAAAGTAATTTAAATAAGACGAGGAAAATTACCAAACAATTAACCTTTGACAGTACAATATTATTGATAAACACTTATGTTATTTTTATCATAAGGACATGACAGAATAATACTCAAAGCTTAGATCTTTCTACCTATAACTTAATGCACTAAGCAAAGCAATAGGATAATTCTATTTCTGAACGCCGAATTATTGACCAACGCTGATACTACGTTGAAAAAGTTCACCGATGACGTCATCCATCGATCATAACTATTGGGACAAATCGAGTGCGGAGTACGGTGAGGGAAAGCGGGAGGGGATAATGTAATAAAATTTCATTGTAGATTTAAAATGTAGGTCTATAGCAGGTCTGCGGCGAGCGCTGGCTTGTAGCCCGCCAACTCGTGCACTGAATGTGCCAGCCGGCGCGCCTGCTGCACCGCCGTGGCGGCCGGCACCAGCCCCAGGTGAATGCAAATCAGTTCCTTGATGCTCACTCCTTGACTGTCCGTGGGGAAAGCCAGGTCCACGAGTTGTCTACAACAGTGATAAACGGGGGCAAATTTTGAAACAAAACTTGGACGATGTGCATATTTTTAAATTATCTTTACTTCAGTATAAGTTAATATTATGGTATGTCTATACTGTCATTACACCTGTATTACAATATTGCCATCCCTTTCATACTCTATGCATATGGAGATACCAGTCATGATTGGTCAGACAGTGACCAATCATGACTGCTATATTTTTTATTTAAGTTAAGTACAAATCTGAACATATCAGCAGACGTGACTTAGCTGTTTTGTAGAATATAACATGACTACTTCAAAGCACATTGATCTTGGCAGCGTGTGCAGGTCTCACCTGTAGAATGCGGCGCGTAGGTCGCCGGGCGGGGGCAGTGCGCGCGCGGCTGCGGGGTGGGGCGGACGCGCGGGGCGCACGGGCACGCCGCGCCGCTCCCACCACTGGAGCGCGCAAGCGTGCAGTGCGCCGCGCCGCCACGCCGCTCCCCCGTAACCCTCGCGGAATGAAGACAGCGCGCGGGACACGATAGCGCGCACCTAACACAACAAACACTTACACTCAAGTGTCAACAACACAGAGTTATATACTGGTTACTTAATCTGGAGCTCAGCGTGGATTTTGAAATAATTACATTTATTAACTTTTTTAGTCATCTTTTTTGTTGACATACAAATTTTTCTCCTATCCGAATAATAAAGGCTATTAAAAAAAAGTCTAATGAATTTTGGGACGCTGTGTTTATAAATAAGACAGAATTACAAATATAACTGACAGTGTGTGG